TTTTTTTTTTTATGCTTCACTCTAAAACCACGAACCACTATTGTTTCTGTGTACCTGACCTCTAGCACTCCTAAAATAAATTTACCTTTCCCCACCCCATTCAATTACTACCAGTAGTCTGCACTGAAGATTACTCCCCAAAGCCACTCTCTATTCTTGGATGCCCGCCCCAACCGGTTCTCCAAGCTTTTTCCTGAGCTCCAGATCCTGAAATCCCATCTCCTATCCCAGGAAGCATTAATTTGAAAGCCAGGTTAATCTTGTTAGCCCCACCCACCGACAGCTTATAACTACCATTACTCTCTCTGCACTCACTATTTTATAATAGGCACCTATTATTCTGCCTCTGAGTTAATTTCATTTTATCATGTGCTTACTCAGTATATTACTCACTGCCCTTATTGGTGTACATCAGGTCTAAGTAAAAGCTACCAGATAAAAGGACATGTACTTAACTTGAGTTTAACACTGAAAATGGTAGATGTTTAATGCTTTTCAAAAATGATTTCAAATATATTAAATTAAATCTGATTTGTGACATCTATAAAATCTCCCAACATGAATGTATCTCAAAAACATGCTAGATGAAAGACACAAATGACCTCCTCCTGTATGATTCCATTTATGTGAAAATCAAGGAAAAATTTTAGTGATGAAATCAAATGCACACTATAGGGTTTTTTAAAGGGATGGGAATCATTTAAGATTTCAATCTATATCTTCCCAGATCTCCTATTAATCTTTAATTTGAAAATTTGTAATTTTCTTTCAAAACATGTACTTGATCACCTATGACCAACAGTACATTTTGCCTTTTGATTTCTCCATCAGAAATGTCTTTGTTAACATTGTTTTTTTTTTTTTAAAGAAAGTTTTTATTTTGGCTGTTCCCACATTAGAACTAATGCATGCAATCCAGTTCTTAATTCAAGATGCAAACTGGAGTACAAAAAGAAACTACAGTAAATACCATTCCATTTAACTGTCAGCTAAGCCGGGAGTCTTTTGCGAATGTTATTTCTGAGCATTTCTGAAAAGTGGCTAGAAAAGTGGCTAGGTTTTAAACTATATTTTAGTCTCTATTCTAAGAGACTCTTTAAAAGAATTATTCTAAAACCTTATTCTAAATGGTACCTTTAAAGTCGACCATTTGAGAGAACACAATGTCTTTTAGCTGGTCAATTTTTATCCTGATTATCACTACTATTTGCATTTAGTGATACCCTATCTCCATAAAGGCTGTAATTTCTCTGATGTGAAGTTCTGCTGACAAAATAACTCAACAGGTTAAAATTACTTATTAAACTGCGGCTAAGTGATTAAGCTTTCTTTTAACACAACTGATGAGTAAATTTCAACAGTTGGTGCTGCTCAAACTGCCTTTGCCATTACCTGTAAAAATTTAGTACACACCGAACAGGACCAAACATTACAAATAATACACAAGAGGAAAAGGAAAGACTTTACATAGTATAATTTAACAATTTTATGTCCCATCTGCTGCAGAGATCACAAACATACTGTCATTATGCCATTTCCTTCCTAGAACCCTACAACCTCCTGCTGCTTTATTTTTATCTTATCAAAGGTTTAATCCGCTCGGGGTTGCTAAAGGTGGAGTCAAGGAAGCATAATTTGTGAACCCAAGCAGAGAAAAGGGCAGGAATATGGGGTTGAGTCACGTCGTTCCGCCATTTTCTAAGCGGAGGAGGAAGACATGTTGGAACAAAAACACAACAAAAGAGCAGCCATTTCCCAAGCCAGCTCCAATAGCAACCCGAACTGGTTGAGTCCGGTCACTTCGGTACCTTCAAATCCACTTCACTGGCCAAAGATAAAAACATCAGAGGTGCCGCGGTAAATAAAGCGGCAGCCAACCCTTGCACGCTAGGGATCAAAGATGACCTGCATACTTAACTGCAAAGGAAAGCCCCGGAAAGAGGAAGAATGACGGAAGCTAAGGGGCGCAGGGTGTAATGAATTGAATCATAAACTAAATTGGCAAACTAAAATTTACTCAGTGATAGTAGTAACCTATAGTTCGAAGGAAGACACTGGCTATAGGGAATACAGGCAACACGACTAACAAGACCCAGATTCAGCAGGTCCCATTACCTGCCTCTACGTCTCCTCCCTTTTCCCATTCCGTACTTCCCTCAATGGACTGTGTATACGTTTATGGGTTCTTACCGTATGTGGGGGATGCCAACCCCACCTTGAAGAATCTTATAGAGTTTGCTCTCGTACAGCAACTGGGGATGCCTGGCCTTCTGAGATTCTAGCTTCACTGCCACTTCCTGCGGGGGAAAGGAGGGATGATGGCATCAACATCCCAATGGATTCAATGTCACTTGGGAAAGGAGTGAGACATTAGCAAAGCTCTAAGTCGAGAGTACAAGAACCTGGGGGAAAAGAAAGCTCTCTTTGTAATTATAAAACGAGGCAACCAGACTCAAAGGCCTCTTCAGGGGGCAGTGACGAAATTGGTACGTCCTCTACAATGCAGGAAAATTATTCATCCAGAAAAAAGCAGCAACCTCTGACCGTAATGAGAAGGAACTAAGCGATCGGAAACTGCTCTCATTGGAACAAAACCCCCAGTGAAATATAAAAAAAATCAAAAGCATGAGAAATCACATAAATGATTTTGTCGTCTTCACCTTAAACGACTGTTTAAAAAAAAAGTTCGACAAAGGAACATTTACGGGACATGTTTAATAAGCTGGGAAACTAGTTGACCCAAGCTTTCTATTGAGTTCTTTCCCTTTTAGGGCAAGAGAGCGGGGGAGGTTCCGAAGCCAGGAAAACTGGCTCTCTGGACTCTCCAGTGCGTGCGTGCGTTCGGTGGGAAAAGGCCCGAGCCGCCTGGAGGTTGGGAAGGGGGGGTGAGTTAAGGTTTAACGTTGCAGTGAACCCCACCCCAGGTGATTACCTCGCCGTTGGTGATGTTGATCGCCAGGTAAATGTCCCCGAAGGAGCCAGACCCGATCTTCCGTACCAGTTTATATTTCCCTCCGACAATGAATTCGGCCTTGGAGCCGCTGCTGCTCGCCATTCTGAGAGACGAAAATGGAGGCTGGGGCCAAGCCCCGACACCTCTGAGAGAACGACGGAGGCCTCTGGGGCTCGTCCCCCGGGCAAGGCCGCGGAGAAGGGCGGCAGGAAACGGAGCACGGAGGCTTCCTCGGCGCTATAGGGCCCAGAATCAGTCAAGGAGAACGTGATCACAACCGCTCAGTAGGGATTCTTTTTGCCAGGCCGTAGTTTGTGAGGTGTTCTCGCGGTTACTAGGCTGGGCCACTTGTTTCCGGACGGCTGCCGCTTCCTCGCCTTCGCAGCGACGTTGCGGGCTGGAAAAAAGGCGCGGTGAACTACGGCGGCGATATCGCTGCCACCACTGCCGCCGGCTCCGGCCCGGAGGGACCCCTGTCACTCCGCCGACGCCGCCATCTTGTTACTCCAGCTCCAGCCAACACAAAATGCCCCCAGTCCCCGGGAGCCGCTTCTTCACGGCGCACAGCACTCTGGGAAAAGGATCTCGGGCTCTAGCCCCGAAGGATCGGCAGCTAGAAAGAGGGCGGAACCGGATCCGTGAGAGTCGCGGCCCACGCTCCAAGCGTCATCCCGTCACCGCCCAGCTGCGCATGAGCGTAGCAACGCCTGTGAGTGCGCAGGCGTGCCTTAGCCTGGTCCTCGCCCCGCCAGAGCACTCTTCCACTTCCGGTTGTCGGAATGCCGTGCTGATTTTTTTACTCATCTCGGAGCCGCCTCGTCTCTGATAAGACTGAGTGGCCCTGGACCTCGAGCGCTTGTTAGGGAGGAGTCACCCTTATTTTTCGTAGTCTTTGCTTATTGATCTTTGCCCTTTGTTTGAGGTGGTTTTAAACCTTTGATTTTTTTTCGAGGCCACTCCCCAGGACCGGCCTATTCCAGTTTCTGTTAGGAAAGCGCCTGTCGCCTCTGGTGGAAAAGAAGAGAAAACCAGCCTTGGGCCGGCTGTCTATGAAGGACTCCTTCAGGCCTCTCGGTTTTAGCAGAGCCTAGCAAATTTCTGTACCCCACAGAGTGTTGAAGATTCTCTTTATGCAGGAGGAGGAAAAACATTTGATTTTCAAGAAGAAAACCTAGTATCTGATTCACATTGAATGTTAGTGATAGATGGAATAAACAGAAAATAAAGTTGATAACAGTGGAAAAAAAACCCGTACGCTGTAAAGGTTGTTACAGCTCCCCCCCTCAAAAAAAAAAAAAAAAAAAAGGAAGAATCCTAAGCTGATCATGTTGAAAGTCGCAGTATTGACCCAAACAAGCAGGGTAAACAAACATAAAATTGACAACGTTTAAGCCATTACACTGTAAAAGTTTTTTGCTAGAAAGTGATTAAAGAATCAAATCTTGACCACGTTTTATTTTGCTTGGGAAAATTGGCTTAATGACAATGTTCACAGAAGAAAACTGGTTGATGCTATCATCTGTAATAAGAGTCAAAATGTAATAAGAGTCAAACGGCAGTTTTAAAAATTTAAACAGTCTATGCTAAATAAGCTCATTAAGATAGCAATGGAAAAACTAAAGACTTGGAGCTTCAACTTTGAAAACTGAAAGTAATTTGTAATAGGGCTCATGGAAGATACCTTGAGTCAAAACAGGGGAAGAGACTCCCTAAGGATTAGCACAAAGCTCTTTGAGGCACACCAGAATCTAAGGAGCCAAACTCCCAAATCAGGACTATTGGACATCCTTCGTAAGTGACTCTAAGGCATGGTTTGGTCGTTTTAAAATCTTCCACTGTTAGATAACTGACCTACAAATTTTTTTTTTTTAAAGCTAAGTTTAAGCATCTTGAGTTTTCCAGGCATCGCTACTATTCTGCTGATTTTCTATCATAGTCATCCTAAATTTAATGGCGTTACTCAGGGAGTTCCCTTGAGGGGCTTGGGGGTATACATTTAAAGGGATACTTTGGTGTGGTAATAGAAATGCTTAATTGGGGGAGGCAATAGAAGGGTGGACATGTAATGACCAAAATTAGTGATTCCCAAAATGTGTAAAGACAAGTGCAAATCTCTAATTAAAGTTTTCTGTAAAGAAGTTAGGAAAAATAAGAGCAATATAATGCATTTTTCATTGATCTGATTTCACATTGTATTTTAGTCTTGAGATTTTTATTTTCCTATATATATCATTAAAATACCTTTTTATAAAATGATGCTGATGGTAGATGGTTATTTTGTTGTTTTTTAGTATGGGTATTTAACAAAAGTTGAAACTTCTATGTCTGACCACTGCCACCCTTGCTTTATTTTAAAACCTTTGTAAGTCCATAAAATCCCACACTCTGGGACCCATTTGTTTAAATGACTTTTAGAAACTCTCTAACTCAGAGATTCTATGATTTATGTGTATATTTGGTGCGAGCCCTAATTTGTGAGTCTTCATTTGTTTCTTCCCAGTGGTGGTCACTATTCTAGCACTGACAATGTCTAGCAAAATGTACTAAAATGCTATAGGACTGGTTATAGCCTTTTCAAACGTGGATCAATCTTAAGATTTAAATTTATTAGATTTGGCTCGGTGCCTGTAGCTCAAGCGGCAAAGGTGCCAGCCACATACACCAGAGCTGGCAGGTCCGAATCCAGCACGGGCCCAGCAAACAACAATGTCAGTTACAACTAAAAAATAGCTGGGCATTGTGACAGGTGTCTGTAGTCCCAGCTACTTGGGAGGCTGAGGCAAGAGAATTGCTTAAACCCAGGAGTTGGAGGTTGCTGTGAGCTGTGATGCCATAGCACTCTACCCAGAGCAACAGCTTGAGGCTCTGTCTCAAAAAAAAAAAAAAAATTATTAGATTTAAGAAGAGCAAATTCTTTTAATGTAGAAAATGAAAATTTTAGATGTTGGCTATGACTCAGGCTTCTCTTTAAAGTCATGTATCATTTGCAGTAACTTACAGCCTAAGCAATTGAATAATCTGTTTTTGGTGCTGCTATTTTAAAGTTACAAATCATTCTGTACTTATTGAATCAGCAGCAGCTTTGCTATAAAGGAAAGAGTCTTTAAATGTACCAAATAGCAATTCTTAGCTCCCAGACCAGATGAATTCACTAAAACTATAATCAGAAGTATAAATTGAAAATGTTAGACCTTGAGGGAAATAGATCATCCGGTTCAATAATCTTTTTTTTTAATGCTTTGTAATTTACAGAATTAGAACTCAACTACCTAAGCAAAGAGAAAAAAAGGAAGCCTAAGAATCTGAGGCTATAGTGAACCATAATTGTGCCACTGCACTGTAGCCTGGGCAACAGGGCAAGACCTCATCTCTTAAAAAAAAATAGAGGGGGCGGTGCCTGTGGCTCAAAGGAGTAGGGTGCCAGCCCCATGTGCCTGAGGTGATGGGTTCAAACCCAGCCCCAGCCAAAAACTGCAAAAAAAAAAAAAATAATAATAATAAAAATAAAGGCTGGTGGTGGTGTGTCTGTAATCCTAGCACTTTGGGAGTCTGAGGTGGGAGGATTGCTTGAGCTCTGAAGTTCAAGACCTGCTGGAACAAGAGCAAGACCCCTAGATCTAGTAAAAAATAGGAAGATTAGCTGCACGTTGTGGCAGGCGCCTATAGTCCCAGCTACTTGGGAAGGTGAGGCAGGAGGATTGCTTGAGTCCCAGAGTTTGAGACTGCTGTAGCTATGATGACAACACGGCACTTAGCACTCTATCCTACAGCGCAGAGACTCTGTCTCAATAAAAAAAGAGAGAGAGAAAAGAAATGGTAAAACACAAATTCACAAATGGGATGATCATGTCCAATGATTACTTCTTTGTTCATAAAGAGTTCAAGATAAAGTCCAAAACTTTTTTGGATGGGATGGGTAAATTCACACCTATTGGGTACAGTACACTCTGGATAAAAGGAACATTTATAACTTTGACTCAGTGTGTACCCCCTAATATTCTGAAATTAAAAAAAAAGAAAAAGGAATTTAGTAACTAAAAGAGAAACTTTTTTTTTGACAGAGTCTCACTTTGGTACCCTGATAGAGTGCTGTTGTATTGTAGCTCACAGCAACCTCAAACTCTTGGGCTCAAGTGATCCTCTTGCCTCAGACTCTGGAGTAGCTGGAACTACAAATGCCACCACAATGGCGGGCTGTTTTTAGAAACAGGGGTCTTACCCTATCTCAGGCTGTTCTTGAACTCCTGAGCTCAAGTAGTCTACCTGCTGCCTCCTCCCAGTACTAGGAGGATTTAAGGGATTTAAACATTTAAAATCCTTTAAATTTTAATTTAAAACTTTTAAAAAATTAATTTGGCTCAGAGGTGGTACCTGTGGCTCAAAAGACTAGGGCGCTGGCCCCATATGCCGGAGGTGGCGGGTTCAAACCCAGCCCTAGCCAAAAACTGCAAAAATAAATAAAAAATAAATAATTTGGCTCAGCGCCCATAGCACAGTGGTTACAGTGCCAGCCATATACACTGAGGCTGGCAGGTTCAAACCCAGCCCAGGCCAGCTAAACAACAATGACAATAGCAATAAAATAAAAAGCCATGCTTTGTGGCAGGCACCTGTAGTCCCAGCTACTTGGGGAGCTGAGGAAAGAGAATGGCTTAAGCTCAAGCCCAAGGATTTGAGGTTGCCGTGAGCTGTGACACCACGGCACTGTATTGAGGGCGACATAGTGAGACTCTGTCTCAAAATAAATAAATAAATAAATTAGTTAATTAATATAAAAAGTTTTTTTTTTAGATCACAGTATTTATTCAAGGGAAGATTACTGGGCATAGTGGTTCACGCCTGTAATCCTAGCACTCTGGGAGGCCAAGGCAGGTGGATTTCTAGAGCTCAAGAGTTCAAGAGCAGCCAGAGCCAAGAGTGAGACCCTATCTTTAAAAAAAAAAAGAGTAGCTGGGTGTTGTGGCAGGTGCCTGTAGTTTCAGCTACTTGGGAGGCTGAGGAAAGAGAATCACTTGAGCCCAAGAGTTTGAGGTTGCTGTGAGCTATGATGCATGGCACTCTACTGAGGGTGTCAAAGTGAGACTCTGTCTCTGGGTAGGGGGTAGGGGGGTTAGGGGGTGAGGAAATTCTCTCTTGGCAGCCAGAGTGTTTTCAGTAAAATGATAAACACAAACACAAGAGATATAGATGGATGCTAAAAACCCAAGGGTAGCCTGCCCATCTTTGGAGTTGTCTGATACAAATAACTGGAAAAATGGAATGCCTTAGAAAATCACAGTGTCTTGAGTATTGTGTAACTGTTACAAAGCTTTGTGCAGAAATAGGGTATCAGATAGACGAGGTAATGGAGTGATTGGAAACACAAAAGACATTAGAAGTGTGCAGTTAGGTCACAGTAATAATCCATTTGGCCTGTTTTCTAGTCTGCCACTGAGAGCAATTCCTTTGTCCCTTGGTTTTCTCAGTTCACGTTCTCCCCCTCTGCTTGTTCATGAGGTTTTGTGAAAGTGGGCAGCTGCATCTGTGATAGCCACTTCAAATACATTTGAGACATTCTTCAAAAAGTTCTTACTTTTTTATGGAGTCACTAACCATGTATTTATTTCAATTAATTTCATTCGTCGAGCGTATTCTTTTGACTCCGATGGCTTCTAGAGTCTCAAGATTGATAAATTCTATATGTTTATTACCCA